CTTCCTTTTCGCAACAAACCAGCACGCAGGAAATGAAACCACTGCTCCTCCCCAAACCCTTGTACTCCTAAACAAAACATACTAACAAACCCTTTTCAAAACTACTATAAATCAACATTATCATCTCCTGTTCTGTTTGTCCCTACAATTCAGTTAATTCTAGAAAGTTGCTGTCTTTTATTGTTTCCTACATGGAAGCTGCTAATCAAATTGGTTCAGTGCTTCACCCCAAAAAGGCACATGCTGCAGGGTCCTGCAGTGGCACGCTGGGGAGCCACTTGGCACGGCGGCTAGTGGAGATCGGTGTCAGGGATGTCTTCTCTGTTCCTGGTGACTTCAACTTGGCCCTTTTGGACCACCTCATAGCAGAGCCGGAGCTCAACCTGATCGGCTGCTGCAACGAGCTCAACGCCGGGTATGCTGCTGATGGGTACGCCCGTGCCAAGGGCGTGGGGGCCTGTGTTGTCACTTTCACCGTCGGTGGTCTCAGTGTGCTCAATGCTATTGCCGGTGCTTATAGTGAGAATTTGCCCGTGATTTGTATAGTTGGAGGGCCAAATTCCAATGATTATGGGACCAACAGGATCTTGCACCATACCATTGGATTGCCTGATTTTACCCAGGAACTTAGGTGTTTTCAGACGATCACTTGTTTCCAAGTAAGTTCATGACAAGATGAATCTTCAAAATGTTTGCTTGTTTCAAGTTCTGAATTTTTTATATGTTTATATGATGTTTTCTCCAGGCAGTGGTGAATCATTTGGATGATGCACATGAGCTTCTAGATACTGCGATTTCAACTGCTTTGAAGGAGAGCAAGCCAGCTTATATTAGTATAAGCTGCAATTTGCCTGGAATTCCTCATCCTACTTTTGCCAGAGAGCCAGTGCCCTTCTTTCTTGCTCCAAAGTATGGGTTTCCTCTTGTCTTTTGTTTTCTCAGTTAGGAAATTTGATGCATTAGATTTATCAATACATATTGGTTAGATTCAGTTAAAAATGGAGATTACTATTGGCTGAAAATTGAGTTCGTGTGGGGTATTTTCAAGTCTGTACTCCTAAATCTTAACATTTCACTTCTGTAGGTAGTAAATGTTATATTGAGGTCCCTAAATGCGATTTAAGTTTTAAATGTAGTTCAAAGGGTAGCCGAGCCTTAATGTGAAAAGTTAATAATTGGATTTCTTCTAGCTCTAACATTTGATCTCGGTGGCAAGTGCAGCTGGATAGTTTTTAAAACCCTTGAGAAAACCTCATTTGCTGATGAGAAAGATTTTTAGAATGGTGTCTCAATGAGATAGTTGTTTTGGATATGAATAGATCTGATTTTTTGTGCTTTTGGTGTTTTTCTACTCCTAGAGGTGAAGACTATTGACATCTCTGCACATTCCAGCCATCTCTTTGTTTTTGCTATAATTTGCCTAATTCACTGAAACTCTGCAATTGTAAGATAGGTAGCTTGCATCTTTCATCTAAAAAATATTTGGAATACTGCTTAAAGAGTACTTGGGATTGGATGAAAATTGTTGAAACGTGCTCTCAGTCAATATATTCAATCTCATACATCTGCTATATCCTGATCTATCCTGCTTTTGCAGTAAATCTTTCTCATCTCACTCAGGGAAAAAGTTTCCATGTAGTGCAGGAGTCAGGAGTTTTGCTTCTCTGTTAATTTATTCTCATGCATCACTTTTTATGCAGAGTAAGCAATCATTTGGCATTGGAGGCAGCTGTGGAAGCTGCTGCTAATTTTCTTAATAAAGCTGTGAAGCCTGTCCTTGTTGGTGGACCCAAGTTAAGGGTTGCAAAGGCAAAAGAAGCCTTTGTAGATCTTGTAAATACCAGTGGATATCCAGTTGCTGTTATGCCCTCGGGCAAGGGATTGGTGCCAGAACGCCATCCTCACTTCATTGGAACATACTGGGGTGCTGTCAGCACCAGTTATTGTGGGGAGATAGTGGAATCTGCTGATGTCTATGTTTTTGTCGGTCCAATCTTTAATGATTATAGCTCTGTTGGGTACTCCCTGCTGGTCAAAAAGGAGAAAGCTATCATGGTGCAGCCTAATCGTGTTACTATTGGTGATGGTCCTTCATTCGGCTGGGTTTTCATGGCTGATTTCTTGACTGCATTAGCTAAAAAACTGAAAAGAAACAGCACGGCTTTGGAGAACTACCGCAGGATCTTTGTTCCTCCAGGCATCCCTTTGAAATCTGGGAAAGATGAGCCTTTAAGAGTCAATGTTCTATTTAAGCATATACAGGTAGGCACCAAAGACAGGAAACTATAATTACAAAGCTTATACTTTCTTCTGATTCATACTCTTTTGTAGCCTGATTTCATATATTTCTATGGTCTTGTTTTTCCATTGTAAACCTTTTTGAACAGAATATCTTGAGTGGAGACACTGCAGTAATTGCTGAAACTGGGGATTCATGGTTCAACTGTCAGAAGCTTCGCCTTCCAGAGAACTGTGGGTAGGTCCAGATGTTCCTAAATCCTAATAACAATATTTCTTTGTCTTTGAATGTGACTACTTTATGTTTACTAGTTATCATCTAAGAAATGTCCATTATCAATTACTTTTCAGATATGAATTCCAGATGCAGTATGGGTCTATTGGTTGGTCAGTTGGAGCCACCCTCGGATATGCTCAAGCTGCTCAAGACAAGCGAGTGATTGCTTGCATTGGTGATGGAAGTTTCCAGGTGTGCTAGATAATTTAAGATCAATTGAATCAGTTCTTTTAGAATACCAATACTTTTCTTTATGCAATAAAACAGTAGAGAAGCTGAGCTTTGCCGTATAAACAACATTAAAAACTGAACTAGTTGCAGCATTTACTTCTCCTTATCTGTATATGCATCCAAGAAATTCTCAGTGCTTTTTTCATTGTATATCTCACGGTTTGGGCATAGAATGTGGTGACCAACTAAATTTCCGTTCTTGCTATTCAGGTTACAGCTCAAGATATTTCAACAATGATCCGATGTGGACAAAGAACCATAATATTCCTTATCAACAACGGAGGCTATACAATTGAAGTAGAGATTCATGATGGCCCATACAATGTCATAAAAAATTGGGACTACACAGGTCTTGTTAATGCCATCCACAATGGTGAAGGCAAATGCTGGACTGCCAAGGTTAGCAACTTAATTAGCACAATTAACTTGAAATTGATCAACATCTTCTAGTTTGCCTTAAAAGTTATAGACATTATAATTAGTTTATTTCAAAAACTTCACAAAATTAACCCTTTCGATATTAAAGGATGTAGGAACAAACTGAAATTTCCAAACTTTTACCTGGATTTGATTATAAGCTTATGGAGTTTAACCTTTGCAACAAAGAGGTGGATGTCATTCTAAATAACTAATATCAGTTTGAATTGCGTGGACTCGTCTTATTTGCTGTGAAACATAGGTACGTACTGAGGATGAATTAACCGAGGCAATTGCCAGAGCAACAGGAGATAAAAAGGATTCATTGTGTTTCATTGAAGTTTTTGTGCACAAAGATGACACTAGCAAAGAGCTGCTTGAATGGGGTTCTCGAGTTTCTGCAGCTAACAGCCGGCCTCCCAATCCCCAGTAGTCTTTTTCACTCGCAACTTTTGGGAGACATGTATCACATTGGTAATAAGATGAACGGTAGAGTTGTTTTTAATTGCTTGGATGAGATCCTAGCACCATCATTGTAGTTAACATATATATCTTCTAAATAAATATGTAACTCCAGCAGTACATTCAATTGCAATACTAGGACATTATATGTATATAACTAATTAGCAAGCACGATAATTCACAATGATGGGAAGTTTTGATCTTAGATGAATAGGACCAACATCTACAGGAGATGAGCATGGAGAATCCAAGAATGGCAGCGCCAGAGTGGGAGATGTGGTTGCCAGTAGCATTCACGCCAATTTGCATAAGAATTTGCAAGCACAAGTCCAAGAAGAAGAGATCGACAAGACGATAACAGAGTTGAAATATGGCAGGGAAGATGGAACTGGCAAATAAACCCAACGAAGACCAAGAGACGCGGCATGCTACATCCAAAACGCCACTGGCATACGGATGCAGCAGACGAGTAGGAACTCAAATACGAGTTTAAACCATCGTCCCATGGGGTGGCCGTATACGTTCCGATACACAACATACAAGTAACTCAAAAATTGGTAATGCACCACAACACATAGGCATATGAGATCATTTACAAGGAACATCTTTAGTTTTTCATTTCGGACAATTGTTTTCTGATCGGATTCATCCACAAGTACGAACATCAGAAGTCCATAGGAAATGATTCCTAGGACAAACCATAGACCGGAAATGGCTCTCATTTCTGAAGGGGAAAAAAAAAACCAAAATAAGTTTAAGATATGCAATGCAAAAAGCCTCTTGAACAACGTAGCCAAGGACAAAAAATGAAGAAAATTATGAAATAGAATAGAAGATTATAACGGATCTTGCTACGAAATTGAACAAAACTGAAACAAACAACAGCACCGCATCCGGAGAAGGAATTGTGCTTTTGGAAATTTATACACATATATAGTAGAGGAAAGAGAGACACTACTAACACGTGTAGTACTAGTAAGTAGCAACTCAGAGCAATTAAGTCTTATTAACTATTCCGGAATTTGGAAATATTGGGAAGAGATCAGCATCAGGAAAAGGATGAAGTTTGAAAACTACAGAAAACAGAAACAGATGCTACGCGTGCCTGTTCTTGGTTCATCTGTCTTCATGTTAATTCAAACCATATTAAATATATATAATATAATACCAACGACTTAAATAATTTAATGGTCATCTCTTTTTATTAAAAATAAGAGGTCTTAACTTCGAGTCGCATGCCATGCGGATACAGTGAGATAAAGAGTGAGAGATAGTTGCTTCTCTTTATGCAATTAAAATCAATATATATATATATATATAATATTATAGATAAACTTTTAAATAAAAAAAATTAATTATGTAATGATATATCATAATTGTAAATTTACAATAATAAATTTTAATTATATTATTTTAATATATATAAGTATTAAATGATGCAATTTACTGATTAACTTAAGACGTTAATACCATGATCAATATAGATATTGTCACTTTATGGTGATTTGATTGTTTGCTTCATTATTATTCTTAATATCTTTATGGTAAGTGTGAAAAATATGTATTTAATTAATTACGCTGTGGGGATTTCAGAAAATGAGAAACTCAGAAGTCTTTCAAAAAAAATGGTTGGAAATATATTTTCACATGTGATGGGCTTATGTAGGACCTTTTTATCATTAAGCAAGCCTCTCACACATATCAGGTAACCTTTTATGGTAACCACCACATGGAGTGAGAAAAATCTTGTTAATAATAGAATGAAACCACACAATTCTGACATATTATGTTCTTATTTTGGTGTTACACCCACATTTCAGAGACTAAGAACAGACATATGAAACTAACAAAAACAGGCCCAAAACTAGATTGCTCAGAGATGTTTTTTTGCAAATGCATGAACCAAATTTCCCCCTCTTAACCTTAAGTATATTGGAGGAAATTTGAAAAGATTTTTATTTTTGACTGGACAAGCCAACTGGTTTAAAACTCTTGTAGGGAAGAAGGGCAAAGAGGAAGAATGAGGGTTTGAACCCTGATGATATGGGTGCATAAGAAATGATATTTTTACTAATAGTTTGACTAATTATTTTGTATATATAGCTTCCTCAATTTGAAAGGATTATTAATTAGTATATCACAAACAAGTGTCTCATTCTCCTCCTTTCAATATCCTCTTTGACCACCCTTTCCCTTGCACTTATCATTGTCACCTGCCTGAAGAATGAATTGGGTTGTTCAATTTGTTCGTCTTAAGTGTGATTAAGAGAAGATTAAAAAAAAAAACAAAAAAAGTGTGATTAAGAAATCCATTCAAGTTTTTCTCTTTGATTTGTTTTTCCGTTGTTTTTTCGTATGTGCTACTTTGGTCTTTATGAGATTTAGTTTTGAGGAGCTTCTAGCCGTTGCCGAAGAACAATGAGGCGGAGGTGGTGATCACAATCGATTGCAGAAGGAAGGCGTCCCCGTTGGAAGTGTTGGGACTGTCGTTCGTTGGTTACGAGGTCCATACTGAGATTTCCGACCTTGAGGGTATAGCAGCTACCAGAGCTGAAAGTTGATCGTTTTGAAACATCCCCATGCATGTACATAATTGCATAATATAACACTCTTTCATTTTTTAATTCACTTCAATAACATAAACATATATATATATATAATTATATTTTATACATGTAAGTAAAAAAATAAAATAAAGTGATCCTCTGTATAGTTGGTTGGAACTAACGCTATTATATACACTGTCTCATGGTAGTAATTAATTTTGTCATCGGTTGGAAGTGTTTTGTGATTTGAACCTGCTGACATATATATATAATCAATTATTATTTTAGAAAATTATTTTGTTTTTCATGTTTCTATTTCTCTCGAATCTGAGTTTTTTGATCATCACCTCTATCAATTGGCTTCGGATGTTATGACATTTACCAGGTTTTTGTCTTGTCGGAGGTTTGACCTTGAATGGACCGGAGGCTGTGTTTTGTGTTCCTAGTTAGCTATTGTCTCCCCCTTTGTTTCTTAGCCATGTGGGGTTGTTGTCTTTTTCTTGGCTTTTTTTTTTTTGAACAATGAAAAATTTTTTTGGTGAAAAGGGAAAGGGGATTTAGGATTAAAATCCAAATCTTAATAGTTCTAAACATGTCCTGCAATGAGGGCCAGTAGAGTCTCCAGTGCTGGACTTTTTGGCTTCTTATTGTATTGTCCTTTTCTTCATAGCTGTATTCTTTTGCGTTGGAGTAAATTAGGTTCATATTTGTGGGGTTAAGAATGTGCAAAGATCCTATGTTAGAGGAAAATGAGTTAAAAAGAGTATAATATAAGAAATAAGAAACTTATAA